ATCTGCACAGTAACTCAAAAGACAGGCACGGGCTGAGAGGAGAACAATTAGGAGAATTAGCTACTTATGCTTTGACACCGATGTAAACCTAAATTCATGTAAAGGGATAGTTCACCCAGAAATGACAATTCTGTCATCATTCACTCACCCTCTTGTCATTCTAAACCTGTGAGCATTGCTGTGGAGCATAAATTCCTCAACATTTTTCAAAATGAATGGTTTTAAGAATTTACTTTATTCATAATTGCTTCTATTGTCTTTGAAATATGGTGTGTGTGAAAGTGTATTGCTGAATGTACTGACAAACATTTATGGTAAACTAAAATATACTTTTAGTTTAATGACTAATGTCATTTCTATTGTAACTTGTATGTCACATACAGTATTTAAAGATATTTTAATTACACATTTGTAATGATGAAATATAGAAAGCAAGAATATAGAGCTTAAAGTAGCAGGTCTGATCTTTAAAGAATTTGATGAGAAATATTTGTATTTTTATATTTAAATCCGTGACTTGAATCTCATCGCTGTCTTGGGAGAAACAACCGAGACACAGGGGAAGAGTGATTTTTCTTTTCTATAGGCAAGGACTGATTGACCCACCTCCCCATTTTACAACAAAGAACATGAAAGTGTTGAATAAATGAGGTTCTGGTAAATGAGACGTCATAAATGATTTTAATTATTATCAAAAGTTTTTAATTTAACCGGTCTACCAGAAGCAAAGCAAATTCTTCAACGTGACAGTTTCATATAAAAAATAAAAACCTTTCCATGAAACCCTTTTTGATGACATTCCAGTTCACATTTTAACTTCAAACCTGACAAGAATTTCTGACATACTTCATTGCCTTGTCAATAATTTACGGCTTGAAAGGTGACGGAAAATGAGATCAGACCAAAAACGCAAATGGCCTTGAGAAGATGAATACATTAAAATGCCGATGTTTGAACGTAATACATGCATCAATCTTATACGAACTGAAAGACCAAGGCTGACACAAAACGAGATCCGTGAAGGTTCAAGCTCTTCAGGGTCGGATCTTGCATTATAAATGACTGTATTCATGACAGTTATGAATTTCACCATCTAAAGTGGGTTGTGTAGAATCTCCCCAAAATCTCAAATACACAAACCTGTGCAAAGACACCTGGAAGCGATAAATAAATAAATGTGACTTGACTTTAAATTATGAATAGCATGGCTATCTACGGTCTCAAAAAAAGCTTTCCCAACACTGCATATTGCATACGATGCTGGGCACACAATGTTCCTTCCTTTTTAGTTGCTAAAGGTTGTTTTTATTACCCTCAATTACTTTGTTATGAGTTGAGTTACATTTGAGAGATGCCCACCTGCCAGCACACAGCCCAAATACTGCCAGCTCTCCACACAACAGCTCAACACTGATCCGTTTGGACACTGTCACAACAAACAGCATGTAAGTGCAAGAGGGGAATCTCTACATTACATTAAGCTACACATGGGCCTGTCCTTATATGGCTTCTCCTGAAATAAATCCCATTATTCTACACGGCAGAAGAACTTCATGTGTATTTACCAGCATGTTTGGCCAGCTTTCCCCCGAACTACAATAAAACCTATTTTTAAAGTGAACTAATTTATTTTTAAAGTGGTTCTGCTTTGTATTATAAATAATTTAACATGCAAACTAAGCATATGAGCTAAAATTTTAAAGGAACACATGGGAGGAAAAATTCAAGAGGGGGAAATGTTTTCCATAAACTTTTGCAAATTAAATCTATATATACTCCATATAAAAATGTAAATGCGACAGAACGTACTACTAATTTATCCCAAAACAAAACCACAAAGCACAGAAAAAGACTAATCAAATTTTATGGATATGCTTGAGTGAAACACAAAGATGAGTTTGAGTCAGTTAACCAACATCAAGTTTATTTTAAAGTGTTCAAATAATTTTTGGGAGCTAATGTATGAAGTGTTGTATTTCACAGTTTTAGCTGGGAAATTTGCCAGGAAGCATTCCTTCTTACCTTGAAAGAAGCTCTTAACCCGCAGGAAGCTGACACTGAGCCTCAGCACTGAGAGTTTGTCCAGTTTGGAGATGACATCTGCACTGAAGGGCAGCAGACTCGCCAACCGGTCCAGTTCTGCATTCAGACGGTCGCGATGACGCTTGGACGGATTCGATTTCTGACCTGCTTTCTCTGGTTTCCTGAAGATATAAACCATATCATAAACCTGTGTGGCATCCAATGGGCTAAATTTTAGGCCTGTCGCAATAATCAATAATTTTTGGTGCCGCAATATATCGCCCATTATATTTACTTAAAAATTAATGTCACGTTTTTTACATTCCACTTGCGCCTGTGTCTTTTGCAGCTTCTCGTACATAACGCGGTGTAGTCATGAGGTGCTAGTTCAAATTTTAAAAATGCTTCTACAAAAAAAAGTTTCATCTGAAGATATGGCTTTGTTTAGAGATCTGTGCCTTTGTGCATACGGACATCTGACTGCTAAGTAGTGATTGTGTTTTTCAGCAATAGTGTGCACGCTTAATTTACAGAGAAAAGAAGGTCCGGGAAAAATCTGTAGACGGAAAAATCTCCATAAAAGTGCATTTTTCTTTTTTTTCTACTTGTTACTTTGCACTTTTTGTTAGAAAATGTTTATTTACTATTTATTCAAGTTTTTTAAGGTATCTAATATTTTGATACTTAATTTTCATGATCTAAATATTCTTAAAAATTAAAAGTTTGTTGTCATTTGGAAGTGTGTAGGCCTTCTTGCATTATTATGCGTTTACATTAAGACAGCGGAGACCAGGACAACTAGATGAGCCCCAGATACAGATCCCCTGTAAAGACCTTGTCTCAGACGGCCACCGGGACAAGACCACAGGAACCAGACGAGTCCTCTGCACAATGTGACTTTGCTGCAGCCTGAAATTGAACTGCTGGTTTTGTCTGGTCAGAGGAGAACTGGCCCCCCGACTGAGCCTGGTTTCTCCCAAGGTTTTTTCTCCATTCTGTCACCGATGGAGTTTTGGTTCCTTGCCGCTGTCGCCTCTGGCTTGCTTAGTTGGGGACACTTCATTTCCAGCGATATCGTTGACTTGATTGCAAATGATTGCAAGGATACTATTTAAACTGAACTGAGCTAGATGATGACATCACTGAATTCAATGAATTTTTCAGTCTTTAACTGAAAAATGAGTGTTTACGATTGTCACTTTGAATTATTGACACGCTATTTTCCTAATTAATGCTGTTCAGTTGCTTTGACACAATCTGTATTGTTAAAAGCGCTATATAAATAAAGGTGACTTGACATTATGATTATATATTCAGTGGCATAAAATGGTCTTTAAAATGACAATAATATCGCCTATCGCAATTATTTCTGGGGCAATATATCGCTCAACCAAAAGTTGCTATCGTGACCAGCCTACTAAATTTGACAGAAATATGACAATTATGTAATAATTATTATTACCACCACTACTACTACTATTACCAATAATAATGATAATAGTAATAACAATATTATACACATTCATTATCATTAGTGACTTGTATTTATTTGTATTAACACTGCCAATAAAACAGTCATCGCAATAAAAAAACCTTGAAATGATTGTAACAACATGAATTGAAAATAATTTACTATTGTCATTAATAATAATAGAATTTCTCTCGCTGGTTTTGTTATTTGCATTGATGTTTTGTCAAACCAGTCATGCTAATAAACTGATAAATACTCAACCGTTTCTGCACAGGTTTTCTCCTTTTCCTTCCAGCATACAGACAGTCTCCAGGTGGAATCATTGTTCACTTCTCCAAATAACACGAAGATGCTCTTTTTAGTTCCTGGCAAACAGAAGTAACCAGATGGAAACAGAATAAGGAGGTGTGGAAGAGAAACAACAAACTGATACGCAATACAAATCTGATAAAAACATTTGTACACATCGCCTCAGAGAACAATATAGATGGACAAGTTCTGTAGTTACCCAAATACTGAACATATAAGAAATGAAACTCACCAAAATCCACATTCAGCCGATGATAACGGTTGAAGTAACCGAAGATAATAGTTTGAAACGAAGTCGAATCATCCGGAGAGTCAAGAAGATGGAATAAACTCTTGATATGACAGCGACATCGAGCCCGCGCTGGTGTTTTATAGCGCGCGGATCCTCACGCGAACATTACGCACGACGCACGCGACGCGAACAAAATAGAACTCTCTGCTAAACTGGGCCAGCGAACCTGTACAGCAACAGAACAGTGGAGAGAGAAGCATTTTCAATCTATTACAACTGTATTTTATTACAATTCTATTGCGATACTATAAAAGTGTGACAGAGGGTCAGATTTCACAGAAATCGTTTTAAAATAAGAACAAAACATACACATGCCATTTAAAAACAATATTTTATAATAAAATGTATATAATGTATAAATGTAAATAAATTATTTTCTATGTAGAGCGCAGTTCAAGGATGCTGCATTCAATCTTCAAATTCAATCTCGATTTTTTTTTAAACAAGCCTATTAATTAGAATTATTTTTATAAAGAACCAACAAAACATCTCTTAAGTGTAGGGGCTATTTTAGTTGATTGGTGACAAATAAAATGGGTCAGCAGCTGGAACTAATTTTAGAAGACCATAAAAACAAATGTTGTGATTTGCAAAATAAAGATAATCAACATGCTGTATCATCTTTGATGCCTTCATGCTCATATCTTACAGAGATTAAGTAAATACTGCAAGTGCCTTTTCCTTTTTGTAAAATTACCCATTTTTACCCCCCCCAAATGCATCCTAATTTAAATAAACAATTTTATAAACATAACTTTGCTTGTAGTTTGCCATCTATATAATCAATGTTTGTTAGGTTTCAACCGTTTTCTACTGCACTTTGTATTTTTAATGTCCTTCTCAATATTAAAAGATACTGGGATCCACCGCCATCTAGTGTTCAATAAACAAATGACAAATGCAAAACACCGTTTATTTTTTTCTGATTCATCAATCAAAAATGCTGCACATTACATTAGTCATGATTTAAGACCATAGAAGCATCAGTAGGTAAAAATGATCAAGGTTTTTAAAGCCAGCTTGACTAGTCTTCCAGTATATAATTGGGATTCACCACCAGGAACGGATCTTCCTCCACGACGGGCTCATCTCCATCCTCACTGATCTTCTTCAGCCCTGTTTTAGTCAGCTCTATGATGATATGATCCTTAAAAAGAAAACATTGCAGGCATGTTATCCTGCTTCAGTTCAAGTAAACGATGCATGCTGATTAACGAGTTCAACTAACATAATGGATGAGTCTGTATAGCACTTTCTCGATGAGATTCTTCTTGGCGACGAGTTCAGCTTCAGAATCAATTTCACTCTCCATTTCCTTCAGGTACCAGTTAATGAGCTCACTTTTCTTCAGAGATGACTCCTCGTCCACTAAAAACACAAATATAGCAGGTTAAAAAAAAAGCAGATTATACATGTTTATTTCATCGTTCAGTGTATGCTCTTTATAACTTTAACTAGATCTACACAACCTGGTGCCTGGAATCATTCGAGATCAAAATTAATTCCAAAATTAACGAAGAAAATCGCCAACCAGTAAGTTGAACAGTCACTTTAAAGGGGTCATATGATGCGATTTCAAGTTTTCCTTTCTCTTTGGAGTGTTACAAGCTGATTGTGCATAGATAAGATCCCTGAAGTTGCAAAGACTAAAGTCTCAAAACCAAAGAGATATTCTTTATCAAAGTTAAGACTCTGCCACGCCCCCCTAAAATGAAACCATTGCTGGTAAAGTGATACTTTTGTGACAGACTAGAGTGGCACAAAGCATTTGGACAATTAAGACACACTTAATTGCCAGTAGGCGGCATCTGCAAACAAATAAAGCTTATTTTTTTTACTGCTACAGTAGAGATAGATTATACTGAGATTTTTGACAAATTTAATATGCTGATTTGCTGCTCAGGAAACATTTCTTCTCATTCTCAATACTGACAACAGTCATATTTTTGTGGAAACCATGATAGTTTCTTTTTTTCAGGATTCTTTCATAAACAGAAATTTCAAAAGAACAGCATTTATTTGAAATAGAAATACTTAGTAACATTATGAAGGTCTTTACTGTCAATTTTGAACAATTTAATGAATCTTTGCTGAATAAAGGCATTCATTTCTTTCCAAAAAAATATAAATATGACCCCAGATTTTAAGAACTGAAATGCTGAAAGATCTTACCTCATTGCATTCATCCACCAGTATGAAGAAGAGATCAAATCTGGACATGATAGGTGCTGACATGTTGACGTTCTGTTTGAGAGACTTGGCGCGGTTGTATCTGCCATCTATGGGGTTTGCAGCAGCCAGGATGGAGGTGCGAGCGTTCAGAGTGGCCTTGAACACACATACAGGTCAGACAAGGTGGATTACGGAATTAATAGACAATATTATATAAGAGAAAGACACGCACCTTAACGCCCGCCTTTGTGATGGAGATGGTCTGCTGCTCCATGGCTTCATGAATGGCCACCTGGTCCTTAAGGTCCATCTTGTCAAATTCATCAATACAACAAACCCCCTACAGACATAAAATAGACATTAAATATGCTGGGCCATCATATTTCAGAGATGTTCTGGGTGGTTGCTTATAGAGCTGGGGGGGGGGCTTGACGGACAATCAAATTGTGATTTTTCTGATAAAAATTGTGAATTTAAAATTTTATTAAAAATGAATCCAGGTTTGCTGTGCTTGTTTGTAGGGCTACACAATTTACTCATGCATATTATCTATTACCATTAACAGCAATAGATCATATACATTATCGGCCAACATGAGGGCTCCTGCTTCAATGACGAACTCATGCGACTCCTCATCTTTGACCACAGCAGCGGTCAGACCTGCGGCACTGCTGGCTTTACCGCTGGTGTACACCGCTCTGGGGGCGAAATCCTCCACATGCCTGAGAGAAAACACACAAATACATCCCAATCCAGCCGTCAGACACTTCAGTCATCTGTATTTTACATTTAAACTGTCAGCAAAATGTTTCTCGCGCATTTGATTTACTTGAGAAATTGGCTTTTAGATGTACTCGGGTCTCCAACGATGCACACGTTGATGTCGCCACGTAAAGACGTTCCCTCCATGGTCGTCTTGGCAACACCACCAAATAACATCAGCAGAATCCCACGTTTAATTTCATCATTCCCTGAAAAACAAACATAGAAGACATAGCTTTATTTTCACGGTTATCTTCATTTTCAGTTGTGATAAAGAAAATCTTCTTTACTTGATACTAAATGTGCTCTTAATATATTTGCTCTCCACCTTATTTTTTTTTAAATGTAAGCACATTTGCAGTCATTTGTGACCCTGGAGCACAAAAGCAGTCTTAAGTCGCTGGGATATATTTGTAGCAATAGCCAAAGATACATTGTATGGGTCAAAATGATAGATTTTTCTTTTATGCCAAAACTCATTAGGATATTAAGTAAAGATCATGTTCCATGAAGATATTTTGCTAATTTCCTACCGTAAACATATCAAAATTTCATTTTTGATTAGTAATATGCATTGCTAAGGACTTCATTTGGACAAATTTAAAGGCGATTCTCTCAATATTTAGATTTTTTTGCACCTTCAGATACCATATTTTCAAATAGTTGTATCTCGGCCAAATATTGTCCAAATCCTAACAATATACATACATACAAACCATACATCAGTGGAAAGCTCATTTATTCATCTTTCAGATGATGTATAAATCTCAATTTCGAAAAATTGACACTTAAGACACTTAAGGTTTTGTGGTCCAGAGTCACATTTGTAATTTGAATGTGTGAAGCAATCCAAGAAATTGCAAACTGTTATTTGTTATCATACTATTTGAATTACTTATCATAAATTGGTTTATAATCATCAATCATTGGTTTGTAGCAGAAACAGTTTCACTGTTTGTGCATTTGATATTTTCTTCTAGTTATTTACCTATAGATAGAAAAAGTCTTACTTCAGCATTGCATAATATGGGGAATAGTATATCCTGTGACCAATGTACAACACTGATCATTGAGATCTGACCGTGAATGGTGGGGAAGAGACTTGTGCAGAGGTTGTGATAGAGATTCTTGTCTTGGCTCATCTCAAACACTTTCTCCCATTCCTGTACGGTCATCTGGTTCTTCACGCTCTCAGCTGTCTGATCCTCCTGACGAAGCTCCTTCCCTCCAAACTAAGAGAACGCAGAGGAACAAAATGTAAAAAAAATAAATAAATAACATAAAAAAAAAAAAACAGAGCAACAGGTTCTTTTTCAGGTTCAGGTGATTTTTTTTAATCAGTTGAAAGCAAATGCCTAGTAAATGCATGAATATTATAGATACAAAGCAATAAATATCAGTTACAGTTTGTGTTGTGATAAACGGCTCTCACCCGTGGGTTGGTTGGGGCCACATAGTTAGCCAGGAAGGCCAGTCTGTAGGAGAGTTCTCGGACACCCAAAGCCTTGAGCCCCTGAATGCCATCAGCCTCAAAGCCCTCCTTCCCAGTCACCCTGCTGCTGGTTTCTGCCCGCGTGCCTACAAAGATGAGAAGTCATATTTAAACTATTCAAAATGCATTTACTCACAATAGGCACTCTCTCGTATTAATAGAAACACTGAACAGTACCAGCGAGCGCCATGGCGGACACATCAGGCACAACTATCAGTGTGCCGGTGAAGTCACAGCGATCTCCTGCTTGTGCGGTTTCCACGGCCTCCGCCCTCAGAATCACCTCCACACTGCGAGGAATGGAGCCTCGCGGCAGCTCCGCCTGAGTCTCCTGGATGCGTACCTGATGAAGTCAAGAGGGTTTAAGATCAATTACTTCTCAGATCAACATGTGTGACCCAGGACCACAAAACCAGTCATAAGGGTCAATTTTTTTTAAATTGAGATTTATAAATCATCTGAAAGCTGAATAAATAAGATATCCATTGATGTATGGTTTGTTATGATGGGACAATATTTGGCCGAGAAACAACTATTTGAAAATCTGGAATCTGAGGGTGCAAAAAAAACAAAACACTGAGAAAATCGTCTTTAAAGTTGTCCAAACGAAGTTCTTAGCAATGCATATTACTAATCAAAAATTAAGTTTTGATATATTTACAGTAGGAAATTTACAAAATATCTTCATGGAACATGATCTTTACTTAATGTCCTAATGATTTTTGGCATAAAAGAAATCGATAATTTTGACCCATAAAATGTATTGTTGGCTATTACTACAAATATACCCCAGCGACTTAAGACTGGTTTTGTGCTCCAGGGTCACATATTACACACCAGTCCATTTAGGAAAGAAAAAAAAAATCCATGAAGATTCATAAAGCACCAATCAATATTTAGATGGTATAGCATATTAACATTTGGCAAGAAAGATAAACGTGCAAAGATAATGTGCAAATAAGGAAAGACTGTATTAAACATGCACAAATTATATTATTTTTTTGTTGTTGTTGCTGCTATTTTAGGCAAATATTTCCAGATGCTTAAATTTCAGTGCATCACTATAATGTATAGAGAGCTTTATGCAATACAGACGGTTTCAAAGCAGTTTTACAGTAATAAAAAAATGAAAACAACAGTTTTAATGTTACAAATTTCAGCTCTAAAGCAGCTTTAAAAAAAAGACAATAGTGGTATTCATAACTTTAATTTCAAAATATTATCATATAAATAAAGACTCCACATATAATGTGATCAAGACCTGGAAATTGTCAGATTTAATATATTTCAACCATTTAAGAAAACACTTAATGCATGTAAATAAATATGTGTCCTGTCAGATAGAAATGAAAAATATTTAAATTATCAGCAGTATCATTTAGTTAAAAATTTTAAATTACACATTTGCTATAAGAGCAAAATTTCACTTAAAGGAAATGGCCACTAAAAGCTGCCTACATAAGCTTTACTTATTTGGCAAAGGTAATAAAATAATTAATAAAATTTAAAAAAAAAAATTGGACTATCACTTTGGGTGTTTTCATAAAGTTTCATAGCTGCAATCTTAAAATTGGGGAAAAAGTAAAAAAATAAAATAAAATCTGTAAAAATAAGTTTCTTTGGACTACCACATTGGATGCTTTCGGAATGTTTTGTAGCTGAAATTGTTAAAAATCACCACATTCTTACTTTCTGGAAGTCAACGAAGCGGCACTTGTTGGTGTCGAGCATGAATCGGCGGCGGTTGGCACACACAGGGTTCTTGCAGATGGTCGGCTGTGTGTATTTGAACTGCTGCTCCACGTCTTTGATGACAGACTGACAGTCCAGACAGAGGAAGGTGCCGCTGACCAGCTCCGGGTGCACAGGGTGGGTTCGCACCACCTGACCGCTGATGCGTACCAGAGAGCCGATGCGGGCGGTGGAGAGCTCACGGATCCTGGACAGCACAGAGCAAATGACCTTACTTGTTTCACATGCAGGTCAGTCAGTCATAACAGAAGAATTTACATACACATGAATATTATAATATAGTCTAACATATAAAGAAATGTCAGTTAAATTATAAAGGTCAAAAAGAGGGTGCAAAATGTAAAAAGTGAGCAATTAAAAAAAATTACAATGATAAAAATAAAATGATATTACAAGTAGGGCTGCAAAACCATTAATCGCGATTAATCAATTCAAAATATAAGTTTGTTTACATATTATATGTGCGTGCACTGTGTATATTTATTACCTATATATATATATATATATATATATATAAATAAATAAACACACATACATGTATACATTAAGGAAAAAAATGTTAAGATTTATATATAAATATTAATATATAATATAAATTAGGCTATATACAAGTTTTTACATCCAAATACATCCAATTATCTTTTAAAATATAGGCTATACAATATGTATTTATATATACATACACCATACACATACAGTATGTAAACAAACTTTTATTTTGAATCGATTAATCATGATTAATCGTTTTGCAGCCCTAATTACAAGCATGATATGAGCACTTTGGAGTGGATGAACTGAAATACATACTTTTGCCTAGATGGAAAGTCTGAAAAAGCCACATAAAACTCTTTGGACGGTGGAATATTTCCATGATCTCTGGCAAAGTGGCGAACTGCTCGGCAGAGATGCTGATAAACCCTGGAAAACCATTACAGATGGCAGTGAAAATATGAAATTAAGCTCTGCAGCAAACCGACAATTTATTCATTCACCAAATGATAAGTTTCCAATCAGACATAAACGCTCAAAAACTACCATTGTATATGATAATGGACAAAATGACAATTAAAAGCTGCTAACTTACACTTTATTTGCCAATGGTAATACATTAACTAAACTTTTTTTTGACTGTTATTTTGTCAAAATTGTAGGCTACATTCTTACTTCCAGAAAGTCAACATTAGTTTTTTTTTAGTTTTTTTTTTGTAGGGTCGTTGAATTTACCATTTTTAACGAATAGTCCTAGATAATATATCATTTCATTAAAACAAGTGAAAGCATTTTTTGTTTCATGATGCATGCATTTTTTGTATTTAATTACGGGTCTAATTTGAACATCAACTGTTTTTGGGACAATAAATATTATTATAATGAGGCAAACTTTGAGATGCGCATCTTTTCTCCAGTTGTTGTGGCTGTTCACCTGTAGTACTCCTCTTGAATGGTGGTGGCGAGCTGCTGGTTGTAGTGCTCGATGTTGCTGAAGCTCACGGTCAGTGTGTTTCTCTCCGGTCAGATCAGCTCCTGCGCGTCGGACAGATATAAAGCATCGCCGGTTTTATCCTGAAACCTAATGAATCAGACCCATTTGAGAAGTGACGTTCATTTAGCACTTCGTGTAAAAGTATTGCAACCAAATGCACTCACTCTTCCAAAAACTCCAGAAATAACTTCTGACATTTCTCGGACAGTTCATCGCGCACTTGCACGCCCGCGGGCGCAGCTTCAACTCCGGGCTCCATCAGGTACACACGGCTCTCACACACACCTGTGCAAGGTAATGAGCCAGCCAATCATATACATGCGCCATGACGTCGACGTAATGACGTATTTGCCCACTTAAAGGGGTCATATGATGCTGCTAAAAAGAACATTATTTTGTGTATTTGGTGTAATGAAATGTGTTTAATGCGGTTTAAGGTTCAAAAAACACATTATTTTCCACATACTGTATATTACTGTTTCTCCTCTATTTCGCCTTTCTGAAACGCTCAATTTTTACAAAGCTCATCGGTCTGAAAAGCGAGGTGTGCTCTGATTGGCTAGTTATCCAGTGCATTGTGATTGGACGAATTCCTCAAGCGTGTGACGGAAATGTTACGCCCCTCACCATACTGTGATGCCTGCGGCAACCACATGTGACGACCCCGGGCTGGACTCCGCTTCGCCCACAGTGAAAGCCGATCCACAGCGCGAAGTTGAAGTATTTCCTCAGCGACCAGCACGGATCAGCTCCAGGCATGACGAAGCAATATCGTCCTCTTTTGGAAAACCAAACAAAGTAGTTTCGCTTTCACAACGAAACACACAGCGTCTTCACGACATGGCGGCGGCGGCGGCAACAATACTACAGCGAGAATAAAAGTTACGCCTTCTTTCTTTGCGTGAATATTTGGGCGGCGTTATGCAAATCTTCTCACATAGTGACATAGACATGTGGGGGCGTGTTGGAACGAGGCGTTTTAGGGGGGCGTGGCTGACTCTTTACTTTTATAAAGAATATCTCTTTGGATTTGAGACTTTAGTCTTTGCAACTTTACAGATCTTCTTTATGCACCAAGAGCTTGTAACACTCCAAAGAGAAAGGAAAACTTGAAATCGCATCATATGACCCCTTTAAGAATAACAATTTCAGTTGTACAGACACCTTATTTGGTGGATCAAAAAGTACTTTTGCCTTAATACATAACTTGGGGATATAAAAAGTATATAAGTAGCCTATACTTATTCACGCTATCGCAATAGGCTACCTACGAAGTACATTTTTTAAATAACTGTACTTCAGAGTATTTCCATATAGTTTAGACTTTATTACATTCTAAACCACAATATCTTACTTTTACTCTACGAAGTTTCATAAAAACACCGTTCCACGTTATTTGAAGAAAACGAGGCTCGCTCCGAAATACTTCGACGAATTCGCGACGAATCATTCTTCTGAGTCGATTCTTTCCAATGAACCAGATTGCAGCTCTTGACGAGTCACAACTCACTGATTCAATGATTCGGTCGGAGCGAATCTCCTATGAACAACTTACTCAATTGGTACCAAAATAGAGATTATTAGTACTTTCTACACATATACATATTTCTGTAACATTTCTTTTAAAACAGCGGCACAAATCCAATGTTTTGTTTGATAAATTAATCAATAAGGCATGTTAGCGAAATTATTAGGCCTAACACAAAATGAATGTAGCTATAAATGTTTAACGTAGCAATCAAAATTGTATCTATTGAATTAACGTTATATTAACTGTAGAAAAAAATATTTTAATTAACCAATTAAAAACATAATTGGGTCCAACCATTTATACAGTCTATGCATTCAACCTAACAAAAATATATATTTATTATAAAAAAACAAAAACATTTTAACTAGATAGCTGCTATTGAGTTTTACAACTTAATGTTTTACCCTGCAACTTTTTCGATTTTATTATTGTTTTATATATAGCAAAAAAAATTTGTTTATTGCAGTAAAAAAAAAAATCATATTTTTGAAACTGCATGCAAACACGGCAAGTAAAATTATAACCCTCATAAAATATTAATATAACACAGTTTATATATTTATTTTGACCTCATGAGGATGGAGCTTGACATATCAATGACCATTTGTTGTTTCAGGCTGTATTTTGTACCCTGTTCATGAAAAGTGGCTAACAGATGTCCTAAACATGCATGATTATATTTGCATAATCATAACATTGTCTTAAGGCTCTTTGCTTCACGTAGTGACTCCACAGCATCAGAAATACATACAGAAACTTTTAATTCTTTTATTTAACACACATTTAAAAAAAAGTGAAGCACACTATACAAATGGTTTTCTGGTAGCAGGTAACAATGCAGACAACGCGTCTACAGACCTGTCCAACTCGTTCGTTCCTGGGACGTGCAGCTAAAATTGCACCTTTTTCCTAAATGATTTCCTTTCTTCTCTTAAAACATCTCTGAAGCCTCTCATTGCTAAGATTTCAATGCATCTTTGTTCTTTTTTTTCTTCATTTAAATGCTGATAGGCAATAACATGCTTAATGTGTAGGATTTATTTCTGATTGGGTTTTTATTTTGCGAGATTAAAGCTCGAGGTCTCCGTTTGTATGTACATTTCCAATGCAGTCTGTCCATAATACAGGGCAGCAGTAAAGTCCGTCTCTTGCACAAATGCATTCACTGACACGCACACGCTCTCCTCTTCTGTTAGTCCTTCTGCTTTTTAAACTCAACACAGGCCGAACATCAAGAGGAATGATATTTATTACCCGAGAGACAACTTAAAAAAAATAAAAATTGAGAGAGAGAGAGACAGACAGACAGTAAAGACGTAGAGGAGCGAAGAAATGTTTAGGCCAAGTAGCTGTAGGTGTCCTTCTCTCCATCCACCCGCTCCAGATATTCCTTCTCTATGAGGATGTCAATGCACTTCTGCAAAACATAACAACCCAAAGTACATACGAGTGCTATTCTGTGCTGGTAAAACAGGGTTTCTGCAGGTTTTATGATGGTGAATTTAAGAGAAAGTCAAGAAAGTTTAATGAATAAATTGAAGGAAACAATACGTCAAAATGGCCTCTAAATATGAACGTCTAGGCTGTATTACCAATACTTGAAAGTAAAAAAAACAACAACTTCCAACCATAAATTTTACTGTACCTGCAAAAAATAAGTGTTCTTCCTCAGTATTTTTGTTATTTTTCAGTACAAACGTTTCATAAATCAAGATACATTACTCGAAAAGCAAAATTACTTGAGATATAAAGTCTTGTTTTTTGAGGAATGAATCAAAATGAAGTGAGTTTATGATTAAAACGAACAAATAGCGGTCAATGGGCTCAGAAAAATCAGTTTAAAGAGAAAACTAGTTTTCACTGACCCTTGACAGTTATATTTTCTTATTTTGAGCATAAGCAATTTTTGGGGGTTTCTTAGAGAACAAGACTTCATATATGTTTAGTTCACATCTCAAGCAAATGTATCTTGATTTAAAGATGTTTAGATATTTGTATTGGAAAAAGAAAAATACTGAGGAAGATTTTCTTTTTTGCAGGGCATTCATCAACATTAAAGGGATAGTTCACCCAAAAATGAAAATTTGATGTTTATCTGCTTACCTCCAGGGCATCCAAGATGTAGGTGACTTTGTTTCTTCAGTAGAACACAAACAGAGATTTTTAACTCAAACCGTTGCAGTCTGTCAGTCATATAATGGCAGTCAAAGGGCTCCACGGCTTTGAGAGTAAAAAAAACATACACAGACAAAACCAAATTAAACCCTGCGGCTCGTGACGATACATTGAGGTCTTAAGACACGAAACGATCTGTCTGTGCAAGAAACTGAACAGTATTTATATAATTTTTTTACCTCTGATCCACCGCTATGTCCAACTGTCCTGAGCGCGTTCACAACATCCGGCACGTGATGTCAAATTAATACGGTTTGGCAAAAAATTCCACGATGTCTGATGCTATATCAAAATCGTCTTCCATTGTGATGACCTGTACTTCTAAATATCTAGATCATCGCAGTGCCAGTGAACACGTCCACAATCTCTCTGCACTGTGTAAATAATGAGTGACGTATACGCGTGACAGATTGCTTCCGCACATGAGTCTAATATCATAGATGCCCTATTCGACCGCTCCAGATACGTTGACGCGCCCGCCATTTTGGAACGTATCGCGGGCCCATAGAAATGGTCACTAATGAGGCATCTACATATATATTTCTATGTCTACTATGCCAGAGCACGTACACACGTCACGCGACAGATGTTATGAACGCGCTCAGGACAGTTGGACATAGCGGTGGATGAGAGGTAAAAAATTATATAAATACTGTTCAGTTTCTTGCACAGACAGATCTTTTTGTGTCTTAAGACCTCAATGCATCGTCACGAGCCACAGGGTTTAATTTGGTTTTGTTTGTGTATGTTTTTTTTTTACTCTCAAAGCCGTGGAGCCTATTGACTGCCATTATATGACTGACAGACTGCAACGGTTTGAGTTCAAAATCTCAGTTTGTGTTCTACTGAAGAAACAAAGTCACCTACATCTTGGATGCCCTGGGGGTAAGCAGATAAATAAAATTTTTTGGGTGAACTATCCAAAATTTGGGTGAATGACCCTTTAAGTCCTTCAACTTGAGGAAGGGCAAATTAAGACTTTTTAAGACTCACAGAAACCCTGTAAAAACTGTTAAGCAGACTAGATTTGTAGATCAGGATCAACCAACCTTGATTACAGGGACTCTGGGTTTGAACCGGGATGAGAGCTGATTCAGAACCTCGGCCAGAAGCTGCTGATGCTTCAGAACCTTCCTCATCTTCATGATTCTCACTATGGCCGCCTGCACATAGAGGACCACTTAAACATAGCAAGCTATTTCAAGCACACATAACTAATACTTAGACTGTTTTTTGCAATTTACTGAATGTATGTTTTTTTTTTGGTGACAAATTAATACTTTTATTCCGCAAAAAAGAACACATTAAATTGATCAAAAGTGACAGTAAAACATGTATAATGTTACCAAAGACTATTTAAAATAAATGCTATTATTTATTCATTAAAGTATCCAGAAAAAGTAAAAATTTATCATGGTTACCACAAAAATACTAAGCAGCACAACTGTTTTTAACAATCAGAAATGTTTCTCGAGCAGCAAATCAGTATATTAGAATGATTTTTGAAGGATCATGTGACACTGGAGACTGGAGTAATTATGCTGAAAATTCAGCTTTGCTTCACAGGAATAAATTACAT